TTGGAAGAGTGCTGAGGTCTACGTACTGTGTAGAGCCTGAGGAAGGGTGGCCTCCCGGATTTTCCCAGCTATTATGAGGTGGCAGTTGGATAGTTTAGATGGCTACGTGGGGGGAGAGAGGGTCAGCGATAACGTCACTATGTTTTCTGCTGCCCAGGCTGAGTGGGGAACAGTCAAACTTTCCATTCCTAGTACAGATGTGGAAATTTAGCCTGGATTGAGACAGGGAGAGAGGGAGATTTGAGCACTGAAGAGAGAAAGCAGTGTGGTCCTGACCTGGGCCAGACGGGGACCCAAGCAAGGGTTCAGAACAAGGATGACCATGTCTAAGGGGCACACCGGCCTTGTTTCAGCTGAGGCTAATTTTCCCAGGTCCCTTACAAGATCAAACCCCCTCCACCTTCCCCTGGCGCCCCCTCCCACAGGAATACCCTACAAAACACTGGCCCTCGAGTTAGATGCCTTCCCTAAGCCGAGTGATGTGAAAACTCTTCCTAGGCTGAAATGCTCTGCAATGACTGGGTTTACTCTGAATTAACTAAGACTGTGTTTCCTGCCATCAGATGTATTAGTACTGCCAAGAGAAATTTAGTTGAGGAAAATTCTATTTTTCACACACCAGGGTCTATAGCTCTAAGAAAGGCTACAAGGAAATTGCATGCCATCCTCTGCCTTTCTCATGCGCATGGAGTGAAATCAGGCATGCTGCCTGGCAGGGTGGGGATTGGAAAGTGGAGTGCTAAGTGTGAGGAGCAGAACAGGCAGAAGGAATCAGACCTTTAATAATTGTTTAACTGAGCAAAACCAGAAGTAATTCCCTTAGGAACAGCCACAGTATTCAGCTGCAGAAACTCAAACTGAACATACTGAGCGAGACTAATTAGAAGAGGATAAAGATTACATGATGTAAATGCAAGCCTCCTCATTACAAATTTCAGGAAATGCATGAGAAGTTTGGAAACTTAGGGCTGCTGGACTCCTGGAAGGGCATCACTGACACCATCCTGGGTCCAGGGCTGGAAGGGAGACAAGCGAGCCCCGGAGAGCTGGGGAGGGTGGAGAGGGGGCACAGGGAAGCAGGCAGGTGAGCAGAGAGGAGCTGACAGTCAGAGGTGAAAATGCCGGTATTCAGTAGGTAGAACGAAGTCTTAGAAATGAGTTGTCAACCTAAGTGTAACGAAAACAAGCACAGTCTACTTAAGCTTCTTAAATTGAGCTCTTGCAAAAGCATAGTGTGAGATAATTGGGACATGCCTTGAACCGAAATTGGTTTTGTTATATTAATGGAGGAAGGATATGCTAAGAAAATTAACAGTAAAAGAGCGTGGAAGGGAGAGTATACAAACAAAGAGAACAAGCTGTGTCCAGTCACCCTCAAGCACTGAGAAGCAACCATTTACACATAAACAATGTTTAGACTAATCACATATCATTTGTAAGTACCCACTGAAGGAGGCTTGACAAAAGATCATCATTAGGGGATATTTAGCAGTCTGAGTTCATGTTTCTCCCCTCGTCTAAGAGTAATAAAACTGAGTTTTATTTCCATTATTTTATAATTTAGGTAATTTACTAATTCAGACAGGTCTCCCAGTTACTTCTAATTAGGTTTCTCATCATTCAGAATCAGAGATTCAGGAAATATTGCTAGTGAATTCACCGGAAAAATTAAGTGCTTTGTGTGAGTTTTGTATTTGTCTTCCGTTTGGACAGACGTATACTCAGGTGCCCCACTGACTTTTTGATGAGCTAGGTCCCATTCTCCTTGAAAACTTTCAGCGGATTCTTAATGCTGGGACCTAGGAATGGAGAAGGTGAGGTGGATGTGACCTTGAAAATACACGAAATTGGGAACAATGAGAAAAAAAAAACCAGTGTCTGAGCTGAGAACTTTGAACCCAAGACCACACAGGGTTAGTCACACAAAGCCCATGATAGAGGAGGGTTAGGTGGTCTCACCCCCAACCTTCCTGCTGATTTCCAAGAACCTAACGTACTTAGGATGGCAGAGTAGGTTAGAGTGGTGGAAATGGAAGCTAGGATTTGGGGGTGGAGATGGGAGGAAGGAAAAGGCTCTGAACCTATGAAGGAGATATCAGTAAGAACTAGATCCCCAAGAGAGTTTGGGGGTTCAGAGGAGAAGAACTAGAGTGTGAGGTGGGAAGCTAAGGTAGACGCCCAGGTGTGTGGACCAAGCAGGGCAGCTAAGACTAGGTAAGGCTGCAACATGGCGGGTACAGATTCCCCAGGGCTAAACCAAGCTGGACAGTAGCCTACAGTGCCACAATTCATTCTATACCCCACCCACTGGGATCTGTGATTTACCTGGGTCCCAGTGGCTTAGAAATGGGATAGGGGTGAGCTGATCATCGGACCTGGGTGAGTACAGCTGGTAGAGACCAGGGAGAGAAGAGGTTGAGGGGTAGAATTGTGGTTCACAAGACACCCCCCGCCCCCCACCACCTCTGGCACAGGGAGAGCAAGCTGTCTGTTGCCCATTCTGACAAAGTTTCGCAATTGACAGAAAAACACCACCACACTTCGTTTATGCAGTAAATGTTTATTGCGTATGTCTAGCATGGCGCTGGGGCCTAGAGAGAATATGAAACATAAGGCATTTCTTTCACCCAAAGAGCTTAATGACTATAACACATTTACCCAACACATATTGAAACAGCAGTTTAAGGCAGAGTTGCATCATGCAGCAAGAAGAGAAGTATGGTCCGCGACTGCTGAAACTCAGATGAGGGATGAGTCAAGGAGGGCTTCATGGAGGAAGCCACTGAAGCTCAGCCTTAAAGAATGGGTAGAATTTAAATAAACACAGATGAAGATGGGAGGCAGGTCCAGATGGAAAGCTACACCAGGGGTTGTGAAAATTAAATGAGATACTTCACAGAGCTCACTTGCTAAGCGAGTCTTGCTAAGACTCTTGGCACCAAAAATGCCCACAGCAAACAAGATGTGTGGCTACCACTGTTGCTATTATTTCTGCAACTTTTACTGCTGTTACCATTTTTATTTTTATGCTATTTTTGCTGCTTTTGGTAAAGGCAATGGGGATTAAAGGGACACATTTGAGAGATTGCAAAGGGGCAGAGTTTTGACTTATTTCTTCAGAAATATATGGCATAAAATGACTCTCAGTGAACAATCATTTGCATCAGAACTGTTTCTGTATCAACAGTGCATCAAAACTACTTGTGCTTAGAGGGGACCAAGGAATGCAGTTACACTAAGAAATTTAAGCTAAGTTCCCACAGATACCACCACTGATTGCTATGCAACTAAAAATCATTATGTTTTAGTCAATGAATGCGTCTCTCAAAAAATGAGGTGGAACATTCTAAGCTCCTGGCCAGACATAATTCCTCTCTTTGTCTAGTGGTCTGTTTTGCTACAAACATATCAATAGGAATGAGATAAAGATGATGCTATTCTTTTTATTGCTTGGAAATGATGTTGCTAGTTCGGAGACGACAAACACTTGTAGAGAGCCAGCCGGGATTTGTTTGTTCACATATTCAAAGCATCCCCTTAGGTGCTGTATTAAAAAACTGGCAAATGAGATTTCAGCCGAGACTGATTATGGCCCAAATCTCAGAACAACTGCCTCATTGTTGATTATTACCCCTTTGCGATGGTCAGTCTGTCTTCACTCTGTTTGCTGTCATGTTCTATAAACATCAAGGAGGCTGCACGGGCAGCGTGACTGAATGGAGTCCTGTGCTTCCCGGGTGCACAAAGCCGGCCGAGATAGAATCTCTGGATCTGCAGGTTGATTTCATAAAGGGGATTATTCGGCGAACAGTAAATGGCAACGAACTCTAATTTCACTTTCAATACCAAGTCTCAGAGCTGAGCAGTTGGGCTGTGTGTGTGTGCATGCATTAGGAGGTGATTCCCAGGCACTGGACCCTGCGGCAGCCGGAAGTGATCTGTGCAGGCTCTGCTTTGCTGCAGAGTCTCTCCAGCCCTTGAGTGCCAGGCTGACTCCCGGGACAGCTCCCTGCCGAAAGTTTTATTCTGAGTGTTCACGAAGAAGCGAACCTCCAGGAGAGAGGTGGATGACACGGTAATTCTAACTTATTGTGCAAAATCCAAATCATTTCAAGAACACGGAGAGGATTAAAAAACAACAAGAAAGCAACAACTAGAATTTTTCTTGAAGTATTTTCCTTTTTGGTATAAAGAACCAGTTTGAGACTGTGAATTATTGCAACAACTAAATGTACCATTAGGCAGTGTGTGAAATAACCTGACGACTCAGTGTTCGGATGCGAGAAGCAAGGAACTATTGCTTTCCAGGTGCCTGCTTCGTTCCTGTTCACAAGATCTTGTTGCAGAATAGGGCAAAGCACAGCATTAGCTTAATGAAGATCTTTTTTTCAATGTGGCCCTTGGATACTTTGAAGATGAAACTCAACAAACTCTGATTCTTTCATTTGTGGAAGGAAGCAACTTGTTGCAAATGGTGGCGCCACCAACTACTGTCAAAGAATCACTTTCTCACTGATGTTCAATGAAAAGGATCAATAAAGAAAGTGTAGTCCTTCCTGCCTTGCTCAGTGCTGTCTCTCATTCCATCAGTCACTGCCCCCGGGGGACATGGGCTTTCTACACCTCTGGTGTTCCTGGCACAAATCTCACAGCTCTCAACCCTATTAGAGACAGACATTTCAAGCACTGCTATAGGATGAACTAGAGGTGCTTTTGCCTATGGAAAGGGGGAAAATAAAAATCATCCACTCATAAATATTGCTTATGATTTTCAGCAGCGGCAGAAAAAAGAACACCTGTATTCATGAGAAACTACAATATAGGTCTCTGCATACTAAAGCTTGTTGCTTTAGCTCATCGGGGTTTTTTAAAAATCTTTTTAGTAAAGAAATAAACAATACCCACTCACAATACTGGCATGATACTCTAACTGGCTCTCTTAAGTTCTTCCCGTCTCATTATTCAAAGTCAGTGTTCAGAGTGGAAGGCAGTAAACTTACCTTAAAGGAGTAGTAGAAGGAGCCCCACTCCTCTCCTTCCACCACTTCAGTGAAAGTCACCGTTTCAGTGCAAGCCACTGGAGAAGAGTCCAGCGTCTGCGTGGTCCCGCTGGCATTGGGGCTGCCCTCTGTGAGGTTGGCTGCCATGGCTCAGGTAGGGCTGAGCCTCGCTGTCCCTGCGCCTGCAGTGGAGTGAGGGAGCCCGGCTCGCCTCCGGAGAGCAGGGAAGCAGCTGCAGCTCAGCGCCTCCTCTGCCTCCCAAGGCTTCTGGCTGGAGCTCGGCTGAGCAGAGGCACAGAGCCCTCCCTGAGCCCACCTCACTGAAGAGCTCTGCCTGACGACAGGAGGATCCACGTGCTGCTCTCTCCTTGGCAGATGTGATCTGATCCAGCAGCCAGCACAGCCCTCACCACCCGGCAGTCTGGACCAGGACCCAGGCCTTACCCTGAGAGCCCTCTACGTGCTCCCCTGGACTGGCCTCCCTGCCCTGGAGTGCTTTTCCTAACTTTCACAATGGACCCCTATCGCTGATCCAGCTTCCACAATGCAGGAATTTGGACTAATGAGCAGGTCCATTAATTCAGGTCATGTTTGCACTTATGAAATAAAATCATAATTATGCATTTGTGTCAGCTGAGGTTGCTTTCTGACTCTCAACCCTCACCCTGACGTTTACTTATTAGCATGCATGCTATTTCTGTAAATGTAGGCAAATAGTACATTTGTAGTTCATACCTGTAGTTTGAAGTTTTCACAGGGCAGTACTCAGAAGAGCGCAGGGTCTGTGTTGTCAGTAAGCCACAAACCTTTAATATATGACTGGAGGTGCCTGGTGAAGACTCTCATTCTCTTTATTGCCTCTGGTTCATTTGCCTCAGTTCCTGCCTAGGACCGATCCTCAGGGTGAGGGTAGAAAGTGGTTGTGCAGTGTCCTTGGCACTATAGACAGGAGTGGGCAAGAATTATAACAGCTGTTCCTGTTTTATCAAAAAACTTACAAAGCACATTTGCATGTTCTTTCATTGGATTTTCAAAACAATTCTGTGAGGTAGGCAGGGAAAGTATCAATATCTGTATATTCTCCTTTTACACTAGAAGAAACTGGCTCTGAGAGGTGAAATGACTTACTCAAGATCCCACAGCTGCAGACATAAATGAGCTGATAACCCATCTCTTCAGAAATTCTTAGGCAGTGGTGCTTTTATCGTAACAGACACTGATTTACATTGAAATTCAAATGTCTGCCAGGGCATGAAGTTAACTTGAATAAGGGTAGCAGCCAGGTGTAAAACAATAGAAACTGAGCTGCTTGTATTGCAACCAAGCATCGTACCTGATTACTCACATGGGAACATTCTGTGAGCCAAATAGCCCCCGCCCCCCACTCTTGCTGGTTTATGACACCTGGGATAAGAGGTAGCAGGCTCAATGACCATCATAAAAGACCTGGCCCCCATGAGACCTCCTGGGAAAGCTTTAGCATGATCCATCCAGCCCCAAGAAGAGTATAGTGTGCTAGTAATGAGGAGACATTAAGTTCGTAATGAAGGGGCAGCAAACAGAGAGAGTTGTCCAGAAAACTGGATAAGCTGTGAGTTCTTAGGGAAGGGGTCAAAACAGGACAACAACCCAATCAATCACAAAATGAGCACAGCATATTCTCACAAGCAAAAAAAAAAAAAAGGTGAAAAAATGTTCAACCACATTAACAATTAAGGAAAAGCAATTCGAAACTATAAGAACTTTTACCTAGGGTGTGACTACCCCCAAGTGTTGACAAGAGTAAAGAGAAATGGTATATGTTTTTACTTACCTTTGCTTCATTGCATTGGCTGAGAGCAAGTCACAGGGTCTGCTCACACTCAAGAGGAGAGAATTATACAAAGGCGTGAATACCTGGTGTCTGGTATCACCAGGTCACCTTAAAGTTTGTCCTCCATGCCACTCCCTGGGCTAGGTGTTCACAACTGAGGAGGCAGCTTTTGAAAAAGACCAGGGTAGTAGAGTGGAGCTAAGAGTTTAAGGCATATCAACCGGAAATACTGAGTATAAAAATAAATAGTTGGAAAAAAGAACTTAATAGGTGTTTTGAATGTCAGAAAAAAATAATTAATGAGCTAAAAAGGCAGGTAGAAAACTCTCAGAAGACATTGAAAGTGATAAAATCATGAAAGGAATGAGAGAAAAATGGTTAAGGACTATGTACAACAGAAGTCAATCTGTGAACATTTACATGAGCTCCAGTGGGAAAGTTAAAAATAAATGGAAGGGACTGAAAACTAAAATTCATGAAACAATTTATCTTACAATCCATAGTAATCTCTGAAATTTAGGAATTTAAAATTCTTATTTAATGAAAGACACAAGATATCTCTATGAAACATTGCTGAGATAAATGGATGAAAACATGAGGAAATTAAGAGGTATACCAGTTCAGGGATTGGAGGGCTCTATATTGTTAGGGATGTCAATTCTTCCCAAATTGATCTATAGATTCAGTAAAATTCCATCATCAAACCAAGATTTTCAGAAGAAATTGTCAAGTTGTTATGAAAATTTACATGCAAATGCAATGAATCTTGACTATCCAAAGTCCTCTTGAAAAACGAAGAACAACATTGGAGAGCTTAAATTACCTGACTTCAAAATTTTCTATAAAGTCACAGAATTTAAGACAGTGTGGACTGATGAATAGATCAATGGAACAAAATATTTTATATATACAGAAATAGATCTCCACTTGTATAGGTATCTGATATTTGACAGATGTGCCAAAATAATCCAATGAGGAATGGAAAGTCTTTTCAACAAATGGTGTGAAGCAACTGGGTAACCACATAAAAAAGAAAATGAACCTTGGCCTCTGTCTCATACCAGGGACAAAAATTAATTTAAGGTGGACCATAGACTCAAAACTATAAGCTTTTAGAAGAAAGCACAGGAGGATATTTTCATAACTTGGGGTTAGGAAAATATTTCTTAGGCTACAGAAAGCAATAATCATAACAGAAAAAGTGATAAACTAGACTTTATTAAAATTGAAATATTACACAGATCAAAATATATCTCAGAAGTGTTTTCTTTTGGAAAAAAGTTATTAAATATTTATAAAACATATATCTGACAAAGAACCAGTATCAAAGATATATCAATAATAATAATAAAAAGACAAAAAATTAAAATAAAGAGAAGATTTATGTAGACATCTCACAAAAGGTGACATGAGAATGCCCATAAGCATTTCAAAAAGTGCTCATATGATCAGTGGTCAGAGAAATGCACAATAAATGCGACTACACACTCACAAGAACAGCTCAAATTCAAAAGACTGACAATGGAATGGTAAAGATGTGGACTGACTGAAACTCTCACACACTGTTGGTGGAAGGAAAAAAATGGTACCACCATGGAAGTTTATTTTTATTCATAATGGCCCCAAACTGAAAAGATTCCAGGTGTTCATCAACAGGAGAATAGGTGAATAAATTATGTATTCATACAATGGAACATTCATACAATGGAACACCTCTCAGCAATAAAAAGGAACAAAGCAATAATACATGGTGCAACATGGGTTAATTTCATAATCATCTTACTGAATGAAAAGAAAGCTTAAAAGAATGCATATTATATAATTTTATTTATTTCAAGTCCTAGAATAAGCAAAACTAATTTATGGTGGAAAATTTAAGCACGGAGGTTGCATCTGTGGACAAGGGGATGGGGCTGGATTGTAGAGATTGCTGAAAGGGGCATAAGGAACTTTCTGAGGTGATGGTCATGTTCTGTAACTTGTTAGAGGTCTAGGATACACAGTTTTATGCATCTGTCAAAATTCATTGGATGGTGTAATTGAAATTTGTGTATTTTAGTGTACATAATTTTTATCTAAAAAGGCAAAATGAAAATATAAACAAATATTAGTATGCATTTATTTAAGGAAAAATATAAAGATATGCATGCTGAAGTATTTGGGGGAAGTGTGCTGATGTCTGTGGCTTACTTTGAAATTCATAAAAAAACCTAAAATGATGGATGGCTAGAGAGATAAATAGAGTGATAGTTTTGTGACAAATTAAATATATGATTACACATCTACAAAGAAGAACTGGTGCCTATCCTGCAGAAATTATTCCACAACATCGAGAAGGATGGATTCCTCCCCAACACATTTTATGAAGCCAACATAACCCTGATACCAAAACCAGGAAAGGATGCAACAAAAAAGGAAAACTATAGACCAATATCTCTTATGAATATAGATGCAAAAATTCTCAACAAAATTCTGGCTAACCAAATCGAGGTGTTTATTAAGAAAATAATCCACCACGACCAAGTGGGCTTCATCCCAGAGATGCAGTGATGGTTCAGCATACACAAATCTATAAACGTAATTCACCACATAAACAGAAGCAAAAACAAAATCCATATGATTCTCTCAATAGATGCAGAAAAAGCATTTGACAAAATTCAACAACCTTTTATGATAAGAACACTTAACAAAATAGGCGTAGACGGGGCTTACCTAAAAATGATACAAGCCATATATGACAAACCCACAGCCAACATCATACTGAATGGGGAAAAACTGAAAGCATTCCCACTTAGAACTGGAACCAGACAAGGTTGCCCACTATCTCCACTTCCATTCAACATACCGCTGGAAGTCCTGGCCACAGCAATCAGGCAAGAGAGTGGAATTAAAGGCAAACAAATGGGAACAGAAGAGATCAAACACTCAGTGTTTGCTGATGATATGATTATATCTAGAAAACCCCAAGGATTCAACCAAGAGGCCCCTGGAATTGATAAATGAATTCAGTGAAGTCTCAGGATACAAAATCAATACACACAAATCAGAGGCTTTCATATACGCCAACAGCAGTCATACTGAGAACCAAATCAAAGATTCAATTCCCTTCACAATAGCACAAAGAAAATAAAGTACCTAGGAATATATTTAACTAAGGAGGTAAAAGACCTCTACAGGGAGAACTATGAAACATTGAGGAAGGAAATAGCAGAGGACGTAAAAAGGTGGAAAACCATACCATGCTCGTGGGTCGGTAGAATCAACATTGTTAAAATGTCTATACTATCCAAAGTGATCTACAGATTCAATGCAATTCCTATTAAAATACCAACATCATTCTTCACAGAAGTAGAAAAATTAAT